AAAGGACGGCACCATGGCAGAGGAAAAACGACAGAAAATGTAATAATTTACATGTTGCAATTGGCAAAATTTTTCAGATTTTCAAACTATCTAACGCGTAATAACTGCTTAACCGCTTCAAATAATGATACAGTTGAACTAGAAACGACAGTAAACTCTGACTTAAAAATCTTGAAAAGTGGGTGACAGCAAAGTAACTTAATTAGAATTTTCGCATCACTCTACAAATTTTACGCATGATTGCATTAATTTTTTTTCCTACCGTCACAGATTAAGGAATGTACACAAGCGCCACTCGATGTCGGAACCTTTGATGTTCGTGTCCCCTGTTTTGAGTTCTACACTCCGGGTATTTTAAACGGCGGCCATGTTTCCAGCCAGATGAGTGCAGCCAGATCACTGTGAGGTTGTGTTTCACTCGACTTTTCCATGTAATCAACACTGTTAGCAACTTTTTCAACCTTAACGCAGAGACATTACGCCTCTAAATTGAAATCCAACACAGTAATAGAACATATTTATAAAGTGTTACTATCAAGTCGTCATACAACTTGGGAATAAACAATTTAATGAAGCAAACCAAATTACAATTTACTACTTTCAATTACTATCTTCAAATTATTGTTTTCAAATTACGTTAAGGACCGTTTGGTCCCACGTACAAGATTCATTAACAACAATTTGTCTTTTACTCTTATTAAACAACAACACCCTTTTCAAACGTCACTTCCTGTTCCCCATTCCGTCCAAAGCGGCAATTCATACGGTTGCCACATAAAGTATAGCACACAATGTGGTCTTGCTAAAAGGAAGTAATTTCAAAAACGAAAAATGCTCTTTGAAAGAGGTTTTTAGAGTTAAAAATAAAGACATTTAAGAAACGTGAAATATGTCTACAATATCTTCTGCTGTTTATCAAAACAATTTCCTTCTCGGCGATAATATTGTTGTGTTAAATGATTACGTAATTATCACAAGGCAACTTTTCAAAGGTTTTTTTTTTAGCAACAGCAGTCTATCACATCCAAGCGATTGTATTTTACCTGAGGCGAATGCGTTTAAAACAAAAGATAACGAGGAATTTCGTCTCAATTTTTTTTGTCTTGAATGCATTAGACACATGTAAAATGTGCCGTGTGAAACGGGCCTTAGTATAGAAATAAGCATTCATTATATATTACCGTAAAATAACCATCCATTATTTATCACCATGAAAATAACCATTCACTATATAATAGTGTAAAATGCGAACACTTGAAAACGCATCTTGTTTCAAAAACGGAAACTTTCAAGGACATATTTGTGTATATCTTGTGTTGCTTATTGATAATGAATTAATGTAACCATTTAATAACTTTCTTTAAACTTGTGTATGTAAAGATATATTTATTTTTTATCTATGTCATTATTAACTTTGAATCGAATGATAATTTTTAATGTAACAGTTTTAACAGTGTTTTTAACATCAAACCGTTCACCGTTTTCTTTCAAAGTGTTCCTAGTAGACTAAAGCAGTTGATTTCAAAACAAGCCAAATAATAATGGTAAATTCTGGTTATTTAAAATCAACGAGAAGATATTGTAAACTGCTACACAAATGCAGAATGATTTGATAGATTGTTTACTGTATTTCCCTCGTGTTGAGTGGGACTTATTCAAGCTCTTGACCAATCACCGCACCGCATTGTGTTATTTTATGACGCCTGATGACGCCTAGATAACGCCTGAAGCAGAACAACCTGATTGGCTGCAATGCAGTGTAAAGGCTCTTTTCCACTCATCGCAAAACGTACTCGCAAGCTCGCTGCGAGTGCTGCGAGTAACTCGCAGCGAGCTAACCATGATCTGGAGCATAGTTAAAATATTTCAACAAAATTTTTTCATCGCGCGAACTAAATGTCCGTTAGCCAATAAAATTTGTTGAAAATATCACGTGACTAGTCTTAAAACCAAAATGGCTGTAAACAGTGAAGTATCCGTGTGGACCGACGCGAAGATTGAAATACTGGTGGAAAGTGTTAAAAAATACAGAGTGCTCTTTGATGTCACTTATAAAGAGTACAAGAATAAAGGAATGAAAGAGAATGCGTGGAAGAAAGTCGCTGATGAGTTGGAATTTCCAGGTTAGATGAAGTTTTAACTTTTACAATTTTATCAGGTGTTGCTAGTTTCTTTCCCAGTGTGCTCGAAATTTTTAATTACTTGCGTTTTCCTTTCTGGTTTTATACTTTTTACATTCCAGATGTTTTAAAAAAAAATGATGACAACTAACCCCTTGCTTTGTGGATCCTGATATTATTTTTAATATTTAGTTCACGTTTGTCAAACAAAATGGAAAGGACTTCGTGACACGTTTTCAGAAAACATCCGACGTGAAAGACATCCATCTGGATCAGGAAGAAAGAAAGCTATTAGATGGAAGTAGTTCAACCATATGCAATTTGTTAGAGACTGCATTTCACCCAGAGCTAGCTCGGGTAACATTGGTTTTGTGCCAACATGCAGTGAAAATGAAAGAGCTGGTTTTTCTGAGACAGATGAAAGCATTGAAGTTAATATAATTGATTCATCATTACCATGCAGTAGTATATTGGAAGTTGCTTCTTCTGAAGTAACAAACAACAATCAAACTATTTCACAAAACTTGGATTTAAAAAGAGTGCGCAATGATCAATTATCAATTGGTGTGAATAAATCACCAGTGAAGAAGAAAAAAAATGTTGATCGGGAAATTGATATAGCAATCTTGAAATTGTTAAAGGAAGATAAAAAAAAAAGTTGTAATGTCAGCTCAAGTGAACCAGATGCAGAAGCTTCTTTTGGAAATTCAATTGCCCACACACTGAGAAGCTTTGACAATTATCATAAAGCTTTGGCAAAGATGAAAATCACAGAAGTATTGTTTCAGATGGAGTGTGAGTTGCCACTCTCAGAAGATTGATCTTGAAATATTGACCAATCCTCATTTCTGCTTGTTGAGGTTGTATTCTCAACATTTTATCTTGATTGAATTTGTTTAATTGTTGATTGTTAATTTATATAATTAATATATGAGGTAGCAAAACATCCTGTTTATGTAAATACCTATGTGTTATAACTATTTAAAGTGTACAACTTAAAAAAATTAAATGATTACAAAACCATGTGGATCAATTTGATCATAAGTGTAATTGTGCATCTAAATTCATTCAATTAATTGACAAAGCAATCTGGTAATGCAAAATTGAAAAACAAAATTAAAGTACAATTGTGTTTATTTTTATTTTTTAAACAAAACAAACAAAACAAAAGTCATACCCTATTTGCTAAATAAAGACTGTAATGGCTTATTTAACACAAGGTATAAAATTATAAAGAATTGGTTTCATTTATGTCATTTCCATCTGACCTAACATGTTGCAACTGCCATGAAACCTGACCTGTTCCTGAACAAAAGTAATTTGTAAGCTCTTCTCGTACTTGTGCAGCATCTTTAGTAAAAAAATTGCTTCCTTGTCTATTCAGTGTATGAAGTGTAGCCTCACATTCTGTTAAATGCCTCCACTGGCCAGCAACTAAATTACCTGATCTTCAAATTAAAAGAGAAATAATTAAAAGCCTGTTGGATGGAGTATACAGTTGTTTCAAGTGGGTAAAACTAGGAGTTGTCAATCAGCTAAATATTCTCATAAGTACAATGTAACTGTAAGATGAAGTGAAATTCGATATTGAACTACATTTACAACATGTTACATCTTACATGTGCTTGAGTCATTTTACACGTTTTCAACGAGTAAAAACAACACAAAATCTAGAGTATGTTAATTTAAAAAAAAGATCTAGAATCATTCTCAAATCTAGTTCAAAGGTTTTTTACCTGTCTTCATTGTCTACAAATTCTGGTGGGCAATACATCCTAGATCCAGCAGGTACGTGTTGCTCAGAAATAATGAGATAATTATGCAAAGCAACCACTTCTTTGGAAATTGCTTCCACTTTGCTCGGATGGGCAATAATTTCTTGTCTTAAGATGCGGAAGCGTGATGCGGCTATGCCAAAAGCATTTTCAACAATCCTTCTTGCCCTTGACAAGCGGTAATTGAAAACCCTTTTTTCTTCTGTCAGGTGTTTACCTGGATAAGGACGCATAATGTTGCATCTTAATGGAAATGCTTCATCGGCCACGAACATGTAAGGAATCTTTCCATTTGGATGGGCACCAGCAAGTGGTTTAGGGCATGGTAGACCTAGTTGATTTGTTACTAGTGCTTCACCAAACTGGGAATTCTGCAGAACACCACCATCACTATGACGACCACAATCACTGACATCAACCAAGAGAAAAGCGTAATCAGCTGATACAACTGCAAGTAGGACAATACTATGCCACAGTTTATAGTTGAAATATCTGCTACCAGCTGATGGGGGAGCTTGCATTCTAATGTGCTTTCCATCCATTGCTCCACAACAGTGAGGAAAGTTTCACCTTTTTTCGAACTCTTCTGCTACTTTCTCCCACTCAAAAGAACTCTCTGGAGCTTTAATATATCCTTTCTTAAAGAGAGTAGACCAAATTGCTTCTGTAACTTCACCAATTATTTTATGTACTGTTGTCAAACCAATCCTGTAGCTGAATGATAAGCTTTGAGGGCTGTCCCCCGACGCCAAATAACGTAAAGTCAAAACAAGCTTTTCCGACGGAGAAATAGCATCCCTTCTTGTGCTGCATTTAGAGATAAGAGGCGCGACCAGAGACAGTAAAAAATCAAAATGTCGAGGGAGCATTCTGAAGTAGGCGAAATAGCTTTCGTGATCTTCTTCTTTCATTTCTTTTACCAATCTGAAGTATTCCCATGCTGTTGTCGTCTTTCGAATATCGGCCTAACCCAAAAACGCTTTTTATACTTCTTGCATCTTCGCATACGACGTCTTAAATACAGTAATAACAAAATACGGCGATTGACAACGGCCGCCATATTGTAAGCAAAAACAAACCGCCATGTAATTTATTATGAAGCAAAGCTAAGAGTGGAAATTGGCAGCGCGAGCTGATGCTCCTCGCAAGCTCGCAGCGAGAGCATTTTGCGATGAGTGGAAAAGGGCCTTAAGGCAATCATTTTTTGAGTAATGGTAAATGTGATATAGTTTTATATTTAATCTGTCCTTTCATCTTTGCTGCCCTGGCATACTTCTCTAGCGTGGAAATTTTCCAACGTAAGTTTATAATGTACTATTTTCATGAAAGCATTTTACACTTCTGTTTAAAGCATTTCGATTCTTATAAGTAAACGTTCAAAGACGAGTTTATTTGAGAGCACGCGGTTTTTGTGAGCACTTTAAATATCGATTTGTGTCATATGTTTAAGTGTGACTTCATGTTTTCTTTATCCGTTCTTCTTCCAGGCTTTTAGGATGAATAAATATCCAATCATTGGGAAACGTGAACGTTTTAAAATCAAGGAAAAGCGAACTACTAAAAACAATGAAGATGTTGAGAAATATGTGACTGTTCTTGGCGACTGGCGTTCCCAATTGCGTACCCTAGACAGACATGAAAATGCTGGCAGAACTGACCGCCACTTAATTCGCTCATTTTGTGTTCTTCATCAGTGTCTTGTATTTTGTTGTATCTTGTTGGACAAGGTAAAGACATTATTGTCTGATAAAGGCAAACTCACTTATGAAAAGATAAATCAACTGAATGATCTAAAAGTAGATCTCTACAAGTTAACCAAGCTTCTCGATGAAATAAATCTGATCTACAACAATTTTTGTGGCTTTAAGCAAGAAATTACAATTGAGTATGTGTATGAATTTAATCTTGATAATGCTTTGAGTAGTATAGAAAGTGCCATTTCCAATCTAAACCATCCTGAGATAAATGATCTCTTTGACTTGGATATCACCCCAGAAGATGTTCTGTGCTCAGTGCTTGGTTTGAAAGATGAGTTTGCTTGCAGGCTTCTCGAACTAACTCCTTACATGAGAAAACACAAAAGTGAAAAGGTACATTTGCTAAGGTTCTTGAAGAAGTTTAAGGAAGAAGACAGCTTAAAAGATCTCAGAGATAGTGAAAAGGTTGCTAAAATCTTGTGCAAGATTGGTTTTACAAAGCATCGATCTGAATTTATTGCTAAGTGGATAACCAGCATGCCAGATCCGAATCACAAACCAATTTTATCCTGGGTGGAAACTTACATTGAAGATCATTTTAAGTATGATATCTTCTTAAATGATCAAGTTTCGTATTTTCCTTTCAAAAATGATAATCAAAATGAATGGTTTACTGTGAATATCCCATGTTTAGATGAAGAGGGAAGACATAGTCATCCTATAAATATGATCAATGTTGCATCGCAAGAAGATGCCCTACACCATGTTGGATCAAAAGTTGCTGAAATAAATGAAAATAATCCTGTGACAGAAGTATATTTCCATTGTACTGATCACGAAAGTGCTGTGGATATTCTGGAAATTGGAATTGTGCTGGGTTTTGGTCGAAAGAAATCAGACTTCTCTGATGGAGAAGGTTTCTACATGGTAAATAATGCAAAGTTCTCATTAGAGCAATATGGATTGAGCAGTACACATCCAGCTATTATCATGTTTGATGTGAGTCCTCAAAAACTGAGCAAGTTTAAAGGAATTGATTTATCCAGTGCTGAAAAAGAAGAAGATTGGAAATTGATTGTTGAGTATTTTCGCTCAGGTAGCCATGGTATTGGTAATTTACCTAAGAATTTGTTCTCACACATAAGACAATGTGATTACATCAGAGGGCCTGTTTCTATTAATGGTTCTATTGAAAATAACACATTATCTCAAGGTGTTGAACAAATTTGCATAAAGAAACGAGAATTGGACAAGCAAATAGGGCATCCATCATCAATTTTAGGAGCCATTTTTCTTAAAGCTCATGAACTGATTCAAAAGGAAAATGAGCTTGGCAGTAAATCTCGTCTACCTTTAATCTTATAAGTAACTGGTGTTATACCCAAGAACAGTTGGTATAACATATTTTATTGTATACTTATATCTAGAACCAACAGTAGATCATTGTAGACTATGATTATCTTTTTACTATTTATACCTGAACATCGAGATATACTCAAGTTTGGAAACGAACTATTTACTGCTTGTTGTAGATTAGATAATTTGATTTGGCTTTTGTATGATGTCATGATAAATATTAAAAAAATTGGAATTTTTGTTCTTTAGTATTCATTCTGTTAGCATTGCACTTACAGCTTGTTGATGATGCCTTTAGAGTGCTGAGTTTTTTTACTTAAAAAATTTGCAAAACAACACTGGTTTGCTCTTTGTACAACTACACAAATCACAAATGTTTCTATTATTAAAGGCAAATCAGCAATATGCTACTGCATAACACGTGATTTAATCCTCTAAGTATTGAATATTTATATATAGTCAATGGCGCGGTATATTTATGGCTTTGTTATTGTGAAATTGAGGGTCAGTGTTTATTTGTTGCTTTTATTGCATTCAAAGCTTCAAATTTTCTATAATGACTTCAAGAAAGCGTTGCAACAATGGATTAAAACATGCGAAACAACATATGATATTATTTTTCATTTTATTCGCCGTACTTTGTGGATTTTTACTCGGTTCTTTATTACATGGCAATGTTCAGTCGTCCATAGATCCAACACCGAAGGAATATGCAATGTATGTGTCGTTTCTTGGTGAGATTTGGGTGAGAGCATTAAGACTTTTGGTTCTTCCTTTGATTGTATCCAGCTTGCTTTTGGCAGTCGCTGAATTGGAGTCAAAACAGAGCGGAAAATTGGGAAGAAGAACATTGCTGTATTATCTTATGACTACAATGTTTGGGGAGTAATTTGTTTATTTGCATTTAACCTGGAAATGTTAACGTGAAAGAACCAGAACCGAACGAAGAAAAAGTTAAACCAATACATTATGTGCGTGATCTTATAAGGTTTGTGCAAAATATTCATAAATTTACTGAGTTTGCGCCTTGCTTTTGCTTTAACTGCGAAAATTTTCAAATACGTATAAGTTACATTTCTATCAGTTAACGACAATCCTTTTTCCTTATTTTGAAGGCAACTTTATTTACTATAACGTAAATGCTACGTTTGCAAAACTGTGCAAGTGTACGAGATTTTCGAGCGCATACGGTAATCGCGTTATCGCAATATTCACTTGATTCTTAATCTTCTATTTGTGACAAACTTGCCTTAAGTACTAGAGGTGGCTATGACTTTTTATACATTATTATATTCATATTTGACACTTTTTTTACTATGCCAAACGAACCACATCTACCAAAGTGATCAACGCCACAAGATCGTAATGCTAAGTTATAGAATACCCGTCCACTCACTATCTACTTATATAATATGCCTTGTTCTTTAAACTTTGTTCTTTATTTTGACCATTAAATGACACTAAATGATACTTGATAAATAATAATTGAGAACTAAACGATATTTTAGTTTAGTGATAAACACCACAAGATCGTAATGCTATGTTATAGAATACCCGTCCACTCATTATCTACTTATATAATATGCTTTGTTCTTTCTACTTCGTTCTTTATTTTGACCATTAAATGACACTAAATGATACTTGATAAATAATAATTGAGAACTAAACGATATTTTAGTTTAGTGATAAACGCCACAAGATCATAATGCTATGTTATAGAATACCCGTCCATTCACTATCTACTTATATAATATGCCTAACACAGCCTTTACAACAATGACATTGAAATATAAAAATTACAATAAATCTTCCACACTCTACTCATCACACACTCAATTTCACATCTCTTTGAGACAGTGAGTGGAAGGTTTATTGAAATTTTTAAATTTCAAAGTCATTGTTCTATAGGCTATGTTTCAGATTAACTTATCCATTTCAAATCGTTTTATTTCACAGCTTTTAACCTTTTAATAACGAGATCATTGTTAAGTGATTATTGCTGTCATTAGATTGTTTCATTCCTAAATAGTTGATCTCTAAACAAGTTAATTATGATGGGCAATTTTTATAACATTGACCTCAAGACGTAAAATTGGCCGTTAGATTGTAAATCATGATTTTAATCTTCCGTGCCATAATATTTCGCATTTTAGGCTCTGGTCCACTGCTCACTGCGAAATTTAACTGTGAAGTGTTAAGTAAAGAAAGGGTTGCTGAATGCTATGTAGCTGATCTTCAAAGTACGTAAAATGTCTTGGAGATATTTTTGCCTATAGAAATTTTTACTATGTTAAATTTTAGCGACGAAGTTCGCTTTCCATGTCAGTGAATATCAACCATATTTATAGCACACTAACTTGTAAGAACGTATTCTTTGGAGACAATGATTATCTCGTTATTATATTCCCTGGGAAACACGTTTTATTGAGCTGGTGGCTCATGGCTTGTGTATTCTAATTTCTAAAGCAAAGTTCAATATTTATAATTTCTTGAGAAACACGACACGAAACGGGCATTACAGGCGACAATAGAAAACTGCATAGTCAATTTAGTCAAGTAGGACTTTTGCTTACCCAGGGCCGGCTACACTGAAGAATTTTTTTGTGACAGTGTTTTCTGTAATTTTCTTCTAAAACAATTATATTGTTTCTTCCCTTAATACGCTCTGTCCGCAGATCTTATGATGCACTGTCCTACATTGACATGCTGGGTATGTTAAGGGACTTCCCCTTGCAGAGGAAGCATATCAGATGAAGTGACTGTTGCATTATGGGTATTTTGCATGGGTGAAAAAAAAGAAAAAAAGAAAAAAGTTTCCTAAATACACCATGCTGCGTCTTGTTCCGTTATAAAGTAAACAAACATATCTTGTTCCGTTGTTGTTCAACATTGTGGAATGGCAGTCATCGTGGTTGTTGCATTGCACTGGTGTGTCATGTAGCTGTGGAAGAATGAATGATTTAAGTTGTTAAAGTTGGTCAACTGTATTTACATTCGATTTTATACAAAGTAAGGAAAGGAGCGAAAAAGGTGAAAAAATCCAGAGCTAACTTTAATCAAATACGGACGAGAATAAAGATATAGAAAAAAATCGCTAGAGCTTGGGGAAAGTACATCAAGACAAAAAAAATAATTCCCGTTCACAAAAACGTTGCAGAGAGTGTTGCAGAGGATCAAGGAATGGAACCTAGAGCAGAAAGTCAGGCTGAATATCTAATATTTTTACTCGTACTTTTATATTGGGAGCTTCTTATTGAATTGTATGATTTAAATCTTTCTTCAATTCCTGAAGAACTATAAATATCTATAATTTGTACAAGTTCGCCGTGAACATAATGATAATTGAAATATTAACTAATTAGAACAAATGTACTTTTCGATGTCGTATTTTCTATTTTTAAAACGCCCACTTATCTATTTGATTACCTCAGAGCCCTCTATTTTTAAGAGTTGGGACATCTATTGTTATCCGCTTGATTGGGCAATATTGATCACCTGATCAATTTCCGCTATTTTGGTTCCTAGTTTTGAAATTTGAGCTTGTGTTTATATAGCAATTGCTGCTAGTAATACAGTATTTTGAGCTAATATTGCGTTTTTTTATGGATAAGTTTGTAATAACTGATTGTTGACGGCTACTAAATGTCATTACATATCGCCAGAATCGAGGATTACGAAAAAAATGAAAAAAATGCCTTTACGTCAAACGTATGATTGCGTTTGGTGATTGCTGTGCTGAACTGCTTTTGATATAAGGTTCAATTAACTGACTCATGTAGAGAATTCTACTTCGAGTAGTGAGTATTTTTGGTAATGAATTCTACGAATGTACCCTACTTCTGTAGCTCAGAGCAGAACATTACTTCTTTTCTAGACTTGTCAATTATATTTTAATTGTAGGTTTTGGTTTATAAGATCACAGAGGCATATCTCCATAATTTCAGCTGTTTGGGCTTTTTAATGTATATTACAAATGTTGCTGCCTTTCTCATATATATTAAAATATTGCTGGCTTTCTGATATATATTTGGGTGCTGCTAGCTTTTTGATCTTTATATTTCACTGTCAATACAAGGAATAGAATTTGAAAAAACGGGCTGAGCCCCCTCCAAACACACCCCTGTTTGATCAATAAACACATACAGAAGTTGTGTCATTCCTCAACCCATTAATTTAACTCTTTGCTAAATTAAAGATTGGATCAGACTCATATGCTGTATAAAAGACTACAAACAGTAGCATTTATAGCAAACAGACTGTTCTTCAACAACAGAAATGTTTCATATTATTATGGAGTTCATTGGGATAACCTGGGTTCGGAAAATCGATTACGTCACTGAATACGTCACAAACCATTTTCACGACAGACATCGAATAATAATCGGCGAATACCGATAGTTTCCACCGGATGTTTCCGACAATCGGTTAAGTCAGTCATGTAAACTCAAACTGTAAACTTGTTCGTCTGTATTTAAAGTATTACCGTTTGAGGTTCTTAAAAAGTTTTCAATGAAAAATGCAACTGATTAAACAATCTGCGTTATACCTTTGTACATATTTTGTGCCATCATCAACATAACGAATTGTTTGTATTTCTATTTCAAAATCGAGCGACGTTTAATATTATGACTTCATTTAGGTAAGTTCTATTGTACTGCAATCATTGATCATCGTTAGACTTTATAAAAAGATCTTTACTCCTTTTGAATTTTAAAACTGTTTTATATTTATGACAAAAGTTTGCTGAGATTTTGTTTACGACTGTAACATGTGACAGCCTGGGTTATGTGTTTATTAGCATAATTATCAGTCAGCCAAGCTTTTTTGAAACCATTATGAATCAACATTAACATCATCTGTCGTCGTACATGAACTGTTCTTAACCAATAGAGCTATACCTCATATTCATCATGTCATTTTAACTTTTAAATATGTTTATGTGAAGATTTCAATTGTAGAATGATTATTATATATACTACTGAACATTGTGTACAACAAGACAACTTTCAATAAATGAGTTGTCAAGAAAAACGAACCTTAAGAACCAAGAATAGTATGAAGCTTTGTTTTACACCACTGTATATGACAGATCATTCTCATTGAAATGCATCAAATTGCAATATTGCTACATAAACACAATGAGGATGAACATTTTGATGTTCACGAAAACAAGATTTAATTATTTATAAATGTTCCAATCTGCACAGCAATGTACTTATATCTTACAATAGCTGT